AGCTGAAGAAAGGAAACTTAGTAGTCAATAATATGACCGCCTTAATCCAAAGTTTGATTTCTTCTTCATCACTACTAAAGCCACCATAACTATGGATTGTCACCCCCACCACCCCTCCACCCCAACATCACCATCACCATCACCACCACCACCGCCATCACCATCACCACCCTCAACCGGCACCATCACTGCTAGCACCACCATCACCGCCATCAACACTACCCTTACCACCCCATCATCACACTCAACACCACCTCACCACTAGCACCACCATCATCACCATCACCACCATCATCACCACCTCCACCCTCAACACCACTATCACTACTAGCACCCCGATCATGACCATCAACACTACCGTGACCACCACCATCACCACCATCGCCCTCAACACCACACACCACAATCACTACCAGCATCACCATCATCACCATTATCACCATCGTCACCATCAACACTACCATCACTACTAGCACCACCACACTACCTCCACCACCATTATCACCATCACCACCCTCAACACCACCATCGCTACTAGCACCACTACCATCACCCGCAACACTACCATCACCACCACCACCCGCATCATCACTACCTCCACCACCTTCATCACCACCTCCACAACCACTACCCGCCATCAACCCCACCATCACCATCACCATGGTCCTAACACCCATCATCACCACCTCTATCATCACCCTCAACACCACCACCACCACTACCACCACTACCACCACCACCCTCAACACCACCACCACCACTACCACCATCCCCGTCAACACTTCCATCACTTCTATCACACCTTTAGACAATCTCCAGGTGCCTCCATTACCACCATCACTAGCAACTAGTAAGCTAAGAAAGAGAACTACAAGTAAGAACAATGTGTGATACAAACCGTATGACTGACGAGGAAAAAAAATCTCTGAATTTCAGATTATGCTCGGAATAACCGAGCTATCATTAATTCTTTCTTGGCTGTTTCTGGAGATGAAGTATATTAATGTGAACATCTTCACTAAAAAGTAAGTGGAGTTCAGTTTCTCTCGTCTATGCTATACGTGTAATTAATTTAAAAGTTGTAAGATGTTTGCCGCCTAGAGAAACGTAACATTTACGGTTATGCGGGAACAGGGTCTTGTACAATCGAACACATTACAACTGAGCAACGAGATATTAATTGATATCTGTCATCACCTATATATATGAGTTGGTCTGAGCAGGTCCTGAATGGGTGAAATGGGAACTTGGATTTGCCTATTTTTTTCACTGAGAAATGGAAACCGGGTCACTTGGATTGGGAATCAAAAACATGGATTGGGTTGGGAAATTGGATGTAAACCCCGCCCCTTCGCGGGGTGGTGGTACAAGTTCATTTGAACATTTGAACAGAGTATTACTCACATTGGAATGCACACAGGGTCATAAACCACTGGTAATATAAGCTGTGGTACTGTCGCTGATATTTAACGGGATAACACCTATGCAGTGAACAAGTGTTCCCAATAACAGTGCTTCATTTTCCTTGGCCCAAAAACCACTCTCAATTCACAGATAACAAAACCTATTTTTTGTAATTTCTATTCTAGGTTATCGACATCTTTGAAAGAGGACGAAGCTTTAGACATTTCAATCGAGCCTCTAGAGAAGCAACCCCCTGCAGTTTGTTCCCGCGAGAAGGCCTCTCGCAGGAAATCAACTTTAGGACTTATCACAGGAGATGAAGGCTTGCACACCATTAAGGGTCCAGAATACGGTAGCGTTTCCACTCCAGAACACAATGGGCATTCCAATTTGTCAAGAAAAGTGTCTCCAAGAAGGCAACGTTGGCAAAGCGTTCGACAACGCACGA